TGATCAAACTTCAAAGAATCTATCTCATCTAATTACAAAATAAAAAACCTAAATCGCAATATCGAGTTTGGACTAAGACAGAGAAAAAGGGGGGCAGACAGAGAGAGATAGAGAAAGGGAAACTCACTGGTGGTCACTGGGACTGTAGTCGCAGCTGGTGGAACCGTGGAGGCGAGGCAGTGGTTAGTGACGTCAAACGCTGCTGATCCGGACTACTGGAGGCGAGGTGGTGGTCGTGGGTGGTTAGTCCTTGGGTTGGTGATGGAGGCGAGGCTTTGCCTCCGGTCTCTGGTCTGGATCGATGTAGTTAAGGCAACAGAACAAACACAAGTCAAAACGAGATAAAACAAAAGGGGAAAAAAGGGGAAAAAACTCTCAGATTTATAAAATGACATTAACCCGTCCAGTTTGGTAAATTCGTCCAATTCTCACGGGTTCACCGGTTTTTGACCGGTTTAGCGGGTTTTCAACGGATTTTGGACATAAACAGTTTTTAATTAGAACCAGCCCGGTTAGGGGACCGGTTCTCGGAGTTGACCCGTCAGGCCAGGCCGGGTTTTAAAACACTACTTTTATCCCTAGTAATACTTGTTGAATTACATGTCATTCCATTTTATTTGAAATACAGACATAATCCAACTTTGATTACTTGAAATACAGACATAACGCTTGACATTATATTACTAAGACAGTCACTTTGTGTATATAAATTCAGATGTTGTAGACCTCCGTTAAGGGATTAAACTGAGTATTATTTTTGTATTCCAAATTTGATGCTTTGTCGACCTTTTTCCTTAGGTTTCATGGGTTGATTTCTTCTTAAGTCATGTGAGATTTTGCTCATCGCTCTGGCTATGTGCATTTCTATTTCAAATTTGATGCTTTATCGATCTTTTCTCGAGAATTTCAGGTAGTATAATTGTAGAATACCTTTCTGAAATGCGTATTTACCTGGTTTAAAATAGAACTTATAATTACAGGAAAACATAGATTAACAAAATACTTTGGTATTATTTCTTTTCCTCGGAATATCCAGAATAGAATAGAAACCAAACCTCGAATTTTTTTGTGCAGCTCTTCCCAAACTAGTGTTCTGTAGTTTGATCTGCACCCATAAGCATCAAACAGACAAGAATTCCTTTATTCAGCACCTCAGAATCATAGTTGACTGATATTGACACGAGTTAATCTCTTAACCAAAAGTATCTTGATGCTCCGTGACATTCCTACGAGTGTGTGTATGTGTTTTTCTTTTTGACATTTATTTTTGAGATCTCTTACAATAAGACTTAGGGCGCAACTTAAGGCGGGCTAGCCCAAAATCAATCTAAAAAATTAGTGTCTGGGTTGAATTTTTTAAAGGAAAATTTGGAGGCCGGTCCCCCTATATGGATTTGTTTGGACTTAAGTCCGTCAAGAAAACTTATTTGTTATGAAGTACATTTTTTGTCAATTTTACTATATTATCCATTCTCTTTAGAATTGAAATAAAACTAAAAATTAAAAACTCCTAAATCTTAAGAGTTTGACTAACATTAACATCTTTTCTCTCACATATCTATCTATATCCATATATAGGTTAAGAGTTTGACTAACATTAAAATTTTTCCTCTCTCTTATCTATCTATATCCTTATATATATATATATATAGTAACTTTAAAAATAAAAAATAGTAACATTCAAATACAAAAAAAAATTATCATTTGAACATAAAAAATAATACATTTAAACACAAAAAAATAGTAACATTTAAACATAAAAAAATTGAAACATTCAATATTAATATTTTTAAAAAATAACAACAGTAACATGTTTAACAAAAATATTAACATGTTAACAAAAATAGTAGCATGCTTAACAAAACTGTAACATACTTAACAATAATTATTTCTCTCAAATTCAAACACAAAAAATAGTATTATTCAAATACAAAAAATAGTAATATTCAAAAACAAAAAAAAATAGTAATATTGAATATTAATATTTAGGAAAATAATAGTAATAACATGCTCAACAAAAAAAGTAACATACTCAAAATAATAGTAGCATGAACAGTAACATCCTCAACAAAAACAGTAACATAAACAGTAATATAATAAAAATAATAATAACATGAATTTAAATTTTACTATTCAAATTCATAGTAACATGCTGATGTAAACAATATTGCACAAAGTTTACCCCAAAAAATGGTAAAAAAAAGAGCGACCAGAATGAAAAACAACACTGAATTTGAAATATTTTTTTTACACCTATGAATTCTCTTCGGGGATAGTAACCAGTGAATGTGAATCTCCTTCCCACAACAATCTCACCAGCACAATACCATGCAAAGCACTCCAGCCCAAACAAAGCAGCAATGCCAGCATCCTCAACCTTCAGTTCCTGCCTGTTCTTCCAAATGTGCTTTGTATTATGTGAAATAAGGTTTTGGTTGGTGAAAGCAAAGATAATGAGAGCTTTTGCTTCTCTCTCTGCCAAGCTTTGGTTTATTATATATATAAAGAGAGCTTTGAATTTGAATTATAAATTTATGATGGAGATTTTATTGGCATATTTTAATGGACATTGAATTAAGGGATAACAATTTCTAAAATAGGAAATTAATTTAACTTCCTTTCAAGGAAGGGTATTTTTGAGATAAAAAAAAAAGTGGACTTAAATCATTACATATAATTTTAAACATGGACTTAACCCTTTATAAGTTTCCTTACAGTACTTATCTTCAAACAAGTACATCTACGATGACTCACTTCCAATTTTCACTTTTTTAAACTTGAGTTGGGCTTTGACCTAAGAGTAATGTTATTGAGACCTAATTTATTAACTTAATTCATTATGACATATAAATTGACATTTAAAATATTTTAATAGTGCACAATGTGCATTGCACATGAACAATTTAAATAATAATTTTTTTTGTTGAATCTATGAAAATATATATTTTATGTGTAATTAAATTAAATGACAAACTTGGTCTTAAAAATTTAATCTATATTTTATTTCTTGTTAAACCTAATTATTAATTTTTTTTTTACAAATTAATATATATTTGATCTTAAAATTAATTTGATAACTGTATGTATATAACAATCTGATATAGATTTGTTTTTGCTTTTTCATATAGATATAGGAATAGATATGAAATGAGTCAAAAAAAATTTAAAATAAATACTACTTGTAAAAGAGTTTAAAAAAACTTGAAAGTAAAATTACGTATAAAAATAAAAATTATATGAAGGTATAAGGATATAATTAATTTTATAAAAATTAGGCTAATAATACACGACGTATGTTGCACGTGAACATATTTAAATAAAATTGTTTTGTTAAAATTATAAAAAAATATAGATTATATGTGTAATTTAATTGAATAAATAAATTATATGTCGGAGAATTAATTATTATTTTCATTTTTACTAAACCTAGTTATTAATCTGTACATTTATTATACAGTAATTTGATTTCTTAGAGTTACGAATTGTAATTAAAAACTTAAAACCATAAAAATAAGTAAAGGGAATGGTTAGAGACATGATGCTATATGATAAGAAGTGATGATGCACAAATTGGTCTCGTGCAAGATCAACAGTCGAATATATGAAAGGGTGTAATTAATGAGCAATAAATAAAAAAATCAATGACAAAACGATAAATATCAGCAAACACGCAAATATATAGTGCTTCAATCCAGGTGACCTACTCCACTATTGAAAAACGGCAACGGTGGCTAGAGGTCTTTATCGATGAATAAAGTAACCGGGAGAGTACACTCCGAGAGAATTACACTCCGGGAGAATTACAATGGTTAGGAGAGAGAAATTTGGTGTATAGAAGGATGTCGAGGTGTGTTGAGAGATGTGTGTGTGAGATGCCTCTCCATGTGGAGAAAGCTTACAATATATAGGTTTGGTGAGGCAGTGAAGTGAGGCGGTGACGTGAGGGAAAGGGCACTACTTTCTTGGTAAGTACAATTAAGGTAGGATTTGATCTCCATAAGTACGTATCCCGATAGCCTCTCTCACGTGCTCCTATCTCCCCTATCTTCTTGGATCCGTGACTGTGTCGGATTGACGAAGTGGGTCTGGGCTACCTTTTAGCTGACTTGGGCTTGCTTGATTTATTAGACTTGACCCAATCGATTTTGGGCTCACCATTTGTCCCCCATGCCCCAAGCCTTCAACTGTTTGCGAAAGGAGGGGGTTGAGGGCATGAGTTTCTTCTTCACTTGGGTAAGCAGGAGCTTTCTTGTTCTCCACGGTGCCTTTTTATCTTCAGGGACTTTGTTGAATTTACTGACACTAAGTGTTTTTTGCATTTTCCACCATTCCTTTGTTGGGTCTTTGCTTATAAATAAAGGTCTGTAGTCTCTCCCACCTCATTTCTCCTTCCATTTCCTTTGAGGCTTCTCTTAGAAGCCATCCTTCAAAGGCTTCTCCAAGAAGCCATCTACTTCTATTTAAAGGCTTCTCCCAGAAGCTACTTTTCCCCAACCCCATTTCTCTCCCTTAGCCTTTTCTTTTCCAAATCACAACAAGCCCATGGAGACTAGGAGCTCAAATAAGCTTGGAGAGGACTTCAATGGTGATAGAGGTGGCGCCCAAGGGGCTGACCTCGAAGGCAGAGGTGGCGCCTATAGGGCTTGTTTTGAAGGCGGCGCCCATGGGGCTGGGTCTCTCGTTGATGGTGCCAAGGGCTTAGGTAGTGGAGTAGAGGAGCAAGGAGGAGATGGGACCGGTCCAGGCAGATAGCTAGGGGCGAGAGAAGCCACGTGCGGCACCGACAATGCTATAGGCGACGCCTAAGAGGGTGGCCATGGCGCAGATAGTGCCTTGCATCGAATGGGAGCCGGGTCTATAGGGTCAGAGGCGTCTTTGGCCGTTTTGGTGCTGGGTCTACGGGATCAGGAAGCTCTTTTGGTTGGTTGGGCGCCTGGTCTACGGGATTAAGAGACACTTTTAGTCGAGGTGGGAAAATAGGGGAGCTTGGCGACAGTACTATGGAGAGAGGGCAAGATGGAGAAATGGTAGAGACAGGAAGGCCCACCCCGATGGGTGGCGCCAGCACAGTGCTGGGCGCCATGGGCAACGTCAGCCCCTCGCTGGGCGGCTCCATGGGCAACGCCAGTGCCTTGCTTAGCGGCGCCATGGGTGACGCCAGCTCTCCTTTGGGCGGCGCCCTCTCAACTGGGGATCTTCATGTGGCATCAGCTATAGGAAGAGTTTTGGGGGGTGGCTCCAACATGGCATGTAAGGCAGGAAACTTGGTGGGTGGCGCCCATGGCGCAGGGCTGGTAAACGGCGCCCATGTGGTAGTTAAGGCAAATGGTGCCCAAAGCGCTGAGGTGGGGGGCGCCCAAGGCGCTATGGGTATGAGAAGGTGACGAGCAAATAACACGACTTGGGCCTATTGGCCCTAAGCCTCCGCTCCATGGACTAAGCCCTAGGAAATCTCTCATCATCTAACTCAAATAGATATTAGTATTCCCTTGACACTAATCTTGATTCTAGCATGGTTTTGTTTGTTGGCAGGCACCCATTCTGATGAGCACATCATGAGGGAGGTTGCTCAGGACATTCGACGAGGCAAAGGGTGCGCTGGAGATGGTGTTTCAAAGGTAGCCTCCATATTTAGCTCCCACGACTATGATGAGGATATTACAGGTATAGTATACTCGTATTGTATTCCTCCTACTGTGGTGTGTCGTCGTGCTGAGGGGGATGAGTCAGCATGCTACGACTCCTCTAGCAAGATAGTCCTTTATGACGACATCTTGGAGGCGGGCTTGAGGTTCCCGATTCCTAGGCCCATATGCCGGGTTCTGGGGCACTTGTCGCTGGCCCTTGGGAGACTAGCTCCCAACGGATGGAGGGTGATTATGGTATTCTTTTCACTGTAGCAGCTGGTCCATAGTGCTGGCGTCCCTCCCCCATTTGAGGAATTCTTGGCTATATACGTGTTCCTGGAGAATCTCGTCCCTTATTAGGGGTGGTATCGTTTTGTCCCAAGGTCGGGCAAGTTCATCATCGGGCTTCCTTCCAATTGTCATAGCTGGAAGACCAAGTTCTTCTTCGTTGGAGGTGAGTGAACCATCGTGACTAATCGTGACGTGGTGCCCTCGAGATGGTATTCTGTCCCCAAGACCAAGTTGGGTAAGGACTCTACCCTTAACTTCATTCTAGTCATCACATACCTATTCTTATAGTGCAATTGGCTTCCTTGTAGCTTCACCAACACTATCCGTAGAGCAAGAGGGTAGGTTGTAGATGGTACGTGACCATCCATTCAAGGAGTTCTTCCGGGATTAGGCCAACGTCTGGTCACCCCAAGGCTTCTCCCAAGCCGAAAAGGAAAGGTATTTGATATTTCCAGTAGACTCTTTATAGGCACAATGTTGTGGCCTTTTTATTCACATTAATTTTGCAGGTACCTCCATTGATAGATCGGCGGTGGAGGAAGTCGACACTTCCAGGGCAGCATCCTCCCCTCCTTCTTCTAAAAGGGTGAAGTCTAGTGCCCCCGATACTTCTTAGTCGAGTCCCACTGGTTAAGTTAGTTCCCAAGAGGCGGAGCTTAGCAATGTCCCTTGTTCTACCCTGATTGATGTTCCTTCATCTCCTAGAGATAGTCCCAACATTATTGTGGGGGCTGAGGCCACGGTGCAGTCACTTACTAGGATGGAAGGTCCACCTAGTTATCCTGCTTCAGGTAGTGCATCGGTATCTATGTTACAAGCCATGAAACTAGTCAATGAGAGGCTTTGGGGGTTTATGACCCGCATGGAGGTTGTCTCTCGAGGTCTGGAGGGCATTGCTGACGTTGTTGTGGAGAGTTTTGCTTTGGTATGTCCTGCACTCTTCTTTGGTTTTGTACTTAGCTTTCATCCTTTATATTTTACTTTTGAATGCCTGTAGGTGGCTACTATTTTCCCTGTTTGTTTATAAGTACGCTGAAGATTAGGAAGGCAATCGATGGCCAGGCAGCGGAGAGACGGGCATGCGAAGCTACTGAAGAGCAGTTGGGGCTCGAGCGGCAGGCATGAGAGAATGCCGTAGAGCAGATGAGGCTAGCACATGAGAGAGCTAACATCTTTGAGACCAAGCTTCAGACGTCCCACGAGAAGGCCGCCCAATTGGAGGCTGAGCTTCGAGCAGCTCTTGAGAGAGCTACTAGGGAAGAGGTTTACTCCATAGAGATGGAGAAGAAGAGGGATGCTGCTAAGAGGGCCAAGGTAGGCGCCTTTATTGATGGCTATGATGGGCTCAAGAGGAAGGTCTCAGTAGCATTCCTTGCTTACGACTTTTCTGGTTTTCTACCTTATGAGGCTCCCGAGACTGATGAGGAGGACGCGAGCAATGATGGGAACAGAGGCAGTGAGTGTCATTAGGAGGATGGTGTCTTTGTATTCACATTTTTGTTGATAGGTCATGTTCTGTCTTTTTGTAAAAGCTTCATGAACTTGAAAATACAACTTTTTGAAAAAATATTGTGAAATTTTATTTCATAATTCGAAGTAAATATTTAAAAGAAATTGACTAAAACAAAAATAGATATTCTAAATAATGACCACCAACTTGTAACTCACTGCCTTGCCTCCAGCTACTAGTAATATTTCTTTAGATGTTTTGCGTTTCATGGATGGGTAAGGACTTGTCCTTCAAAATTCTGGATTCTGTAGGTGCTCGATTTTACCACTTTCGTGACCGTGTAGGGTCCTTCCCAATTGGGTCCCATTTTTCCTCCCCGGGAGTCTTTGGTAGACAAGATGACCTTTTTGAGAACTAGGTCCCCAGGTAAGAAGGAGCGAGGTTTCATCCTTGAGTTAGAGTACTTGGTCATGCAACACTTGTACTCTATATTCCTGAGCATGACTATCTCTCTCTCTTCCTTTACCAAATCGAGGTTGATGCGGAGGCCTTCTTCATTATTGGTAGGGTCATGATGCTGGACCCTATGGAAGTGTACCCTAATCTCGACGGGTATAACCGCATCTGTCCCATAGGCTAGGGAAAAAGAGGTCTCACTCGTGGGGCCTCGTGGTGTCGTCCTATAGGCCCACAGTACTCCTGGGAGCTCATCTAACCATCATCCTTTTGCACTCTTTAGTCTGGTTTTCAAATTATAGAGGACGGTTCTGTCGGTAACCTTTGATTGCCCGTTTGCCTGTGGATAGACAGGGTTGGAGTGGGGCTGCCTGATCTGTAGGTCGGCATAGAAGCTATTGAGAAATTTGTTGTCAAATTGTTGGGCATTGTCACTTACAATGGCATTAGGTATTCTAAAGCGGCAGACTAGACTCCTCCATATGAAGTCTTTTATCTTCTGGTATGTTATTCTGGCTAAGGCCTCAACTTCTGCCCCGGTTTCTGCCCATTTAGTAAAATAGTCGATGGCTATCACTACGAACTTGCATTGGCCCTGACTCACACGGAGGGGACCTAGGATGTCAATCCCCCACATGGAGAAGGGTCATGGGCTCTGGATGGTGGTGAGCTCTTTAGGTGGCTATCTGGGCACAATCATGAAGCGCTGACACTTATCACATTTTCTGACAAACTCGTGGGTGTCTCTAATCATGGTGGGCCAATAATATCTCTGTCTGACTGCTTTGTGAGCCAATGCGCACCTCCTGAGTGATTCCCATATATTCCCTCATGGATCTCCCTCATGGAGTAATTGGCTTCTTCAAGGGTGAGACATCGAAGTAGTGGTAGGGAATAACTTTTCTTGTAGTGGGTATTTTGCAGGATAACATACCTAGACACTCTCATTCTCAATTTCTTGGCTTCCGCTAGGTTGTCTGGGAGAGCGCCCTCCCCTAGGTAAGCTCAGATGGGAGTCATCCAGTTGAGTTTCGAGGATGCATAGTTGACATCATCCTCCTCTGTCTTGGAGGTGCTAGGTTCGAACTGGTGGCCTGTCAATGCCGATCCCATGAGTATGTTGGCAGACGCGAATTTGGTGAGGGTGTCTGCCATGGCATTCTCCTCTTAAGGCACATGGTGGATTTGGAAGCAGGTAAACTTTTTTAGCAGGGCCTAGACCACTGTGAAGTAATCTTGCATTCTTTCCTCTTTTACTTCAAAGTCTCCTTTTACCTGGTTGACTATGAGCTGAGAGTCACTATAAGCTATTAGGTAGAGGGCCTCTAGCCTCATATTCAGCTTGATTGTTTAGTGGAGGAAGACGTCATAATTCAGCGGAGTGCCATGGGGGCAGATCAACACTAGTCCCACTCCCCCGCCCTCTCTGGTGGAGGACCCATCCACGTAGAGTCTCCAACCTAGTACAATAGTCGGTGGGGAGGGAGCTAGCTCTTCGGGCGACGCTGTTTACAACGAGGGGAGTTATAATGGCGCCGAAGAGGAGAAAGGCAATGTTGTGGACAAGGTAGGTAGCGCCCCGAGATGGGTGAACGGTTCCCCGAGCATGGTAGGCGACACCCTAGGTAAGTTGGGGGCACCCCAGGCTGTCTAGGCTGTGGGTCCGCCTTCGAGGAGTAATGTCTTATTGAGGTAGTGTCTGAGCTAACCACATGGTGGGTAGAGGCAGTGTGCACTAAGTAGGTGACCAAAGGGGCACCTGGTACCTCCTCTCCAGTCTCCTGTGAGGGTGTAGACTCGGCCACGAAGTCTGCAAGTACCTGTGCTTTGATGGCAGCCCTTGGTTGGTACTGCACGTTGAACTCACTCAACTCAACGGCCCACTTGAGTAATCGGCTGGAGACCTTAGGCTTTCCCAGAATTCTTTTGAGTGGTTGATCTGTAACAACCACGATGGTGTGGCTCTGAAAATAGTGGCGTAGGCTCCTAGCGGCAGTGACAAGCGTGAGAGCCAACTTTTTCAGCTCTAAGTACCACACCTTTGCCCCTCGATATGGTCTGCTCACGTAGTACACAGACTTCTGGATGCCTTCATCCTCCCTGATGAGGACAGAGCTCACGACAGAGGGTGAGGAGGAGAGGTAGAGGTACAGGGTCTCTCCTACTGCAGCATGGAAGAGCAGAGGTGGGGTGACGAGGTAGGCCTTGAGCTTCTAGAATGCCTCATTTGCGTTTGATCCCCACTAAAAAGACCTACGAAGGATTTTAAAGAAGGGCAGGCATTTATTTATTGATTTAGAGACAAACTTGTTGAGGGCTACTATCCTCCCGTTCAGGCGGTAGACCTCCTTTGTTGAGACTGGAGAATTCATCTCCAGGATAGCTCTGATATTGTCTGGGTTGGCTTCAATACCTCTTTTGTTGACCATGAAGCCTAATTTTCCTGAACAGATGCAATAGGCGTACTTTTCAGATTCAGCTTCATCCTATAGGCTTTTAACACGTCGAAGGTCTCTTGTAGGTGCATTACATGGTCTGTCGCGACC